CAGGTTCAAGCAATTCTCCTGCCTCAGCCTCCTGAAGAAGCTGGGATTACAGGGGCCTGCCACTATGACCAGCTAATTTTTTTGTATTTTTAGTTGGGATTTCAGCATGTTGGACAGGCTGGTCTTGAACTCCTGACCTCTGGTGATCCATCCGCCTTGGCCTCCCAAAGTGCTGGGATTATAGGTGTGAGCTACCGTGCCCAGCCTGAGTTTTTATTATTTGTGAATTTTTGTACTTTTAGTAGAGATGGGGTTTCACCATGTTAGCTAGGCCGGTCTTGAACTCCTAACCTCATGTGATCCACTCACCTCAGTCTCCCAAAGTGCTCCCAAATGGATTAAAGGCATGAGCCATTGCACCTGGCCAGGTATACTAGTTTTTATGCCTTTCTGTGAGGTGGAGGAAGCATAACCACAAGACTGTTTCCGGTGACCTCTTCAGAGGCAATTTCCAAGTAATTAGGTATGGGTTGAATCCAAAGTGTATTGATGAATTAAATATCAGCTAGAATTTTCTATGAAGATTCTGTTCCTTGAACCCAAAGGTTAGTTTGGACTATCTAGGAAAATGGTTTTTATCTTGTGCTTCCCCCCAATCTTTGCTATTTACAAAGATCTTGCACCAACACTTAACATTCACTCACATGGCAAGCTTGCATGTGGTCCTTTCATTCCACATTAATTTAGGGAACTCTATGCCAGGATTGAATATCTAATTTGTCTTAGATTTTTGAATAGTGTCCCATGATTTTATAACTGGGGATTTTCTTGAATGGAAATACGTTTACATGACTGCTTAATTATGACTAACCCATCACGTAGAGATTCTGCTTTGGTAACAGATTTGGTTCTGAGTGTCTAGGAGAAGGGACACTTCTCATATGGGGAAGATGGGATTAATCCTTGAAAATGATGCTGAAGCCAACTTCTGTACCAGTATAGCAGCTTGGCAGAGTTCCATATGATTTATACAAGGGTCTGTTTGCTCTCTGAGATTCTGGATGCCTTCTCTAACCCTTGAGTGCTGGGCCTCTTCTGAATTCCATAGGGGTGGAGGTGAAGGTGCTGTCAGCTCTCGCCCACACTCAGTTCATCCATTCCTGGACAGCAGGGATTCTGTTCATCACCTTGGTGCTCTGGTGCCACAAGCACAACAGGCCCTCAGCAAACATTTGTCAAATTCATGCCATGAACATTAATTGAGCTCTTTTTGTACACTGGGATTGGGACCATGGAAAATTCAGAGATCAAAGGGTTCACCTTCAAGGGGCATCTGGAGGAACCTACCCTTTAGTGGGAGAAATTACTAATGAGGAAAAGTATTTTGGGGAGTGGAGTGAGGTGTTTGTCTAACTGGCAGGTTCAGCCTATGCTCAGTAGCTCTTTGGTATGGAAAATTCCTGAGAATGTTGATTCAGCCGTAAGATTTCTCTGGCAGCTCTGACTCTTGCCTTCATTCAGCCACATTTTATACCCCAAACCTAGGTGTTACTGGGAAGACACCGAGCTGTTTTATTGAAGAGAATTGACTTCCCCATTTTTTCAGTAAGTCTGTTGATTCCTCAAAGACTTCACTAATGAGAGTTATGAATGTTTCAAAAACACCTCCTAGTCTTAAGATGAATGAATTTGTAAGTTTTCTACATTGCTGTCTCCCTAGACCCACGAGGAATAATGCGGGTATCCTATTCCCTTTTAGATTTCTCTCTTCCTCTAACCTGCGCCCACTCCCAGCCTCTGATAGACGCATTTGCAGTAAATCACAGAAATGTTGCTGATATCAGCAGCACTGAGATGCATTAGAGGAGCTGCTTCAGAGGAAACTACTCAGAGGGTGATGCTGAAATGCAAAGCTGTTTGGTATTTTGTAGAAACTGTTTTCTCCCTTTGATGGATCTTGTTTATTTTTTTGACTTAGTAGGCACAGTGAAGGAAGAACCATCCAAATGCTTTTTTTTTTCCATGTAAGTTTTGTGTAGGAGGTTTTGGTGACTTTGAAATGAACCAGGAGCACTCAGCAGCTACGTTGACAAATAGAGATGGCTGAGGCTGCTTGCAAAGCATGGTGTGCTGGGGTGTGGAGCCTCCATGTCAGTGACCTGGGGAAAGGCAACAGTGAGGGCACCCCTCACTCTTCGCAAATGGCTTAAAAATATATACATATGATACTCCGTTTTAGATGCGCACAGACTGCTGTTTAAAGGCTTTCTGTGAAAAATCCTTTTGTAAAGTACATATCTATCTTGCAGAGTAGGATTTCTAGATACAATCTCAGGTTTGTTTATAGGGAGGTATACTTGAATGTCTTCATGACATTTATCATGACAGCTGTCACCAAGCAGAGAAAGAAGGCAGGACTGCCATGGGGCATCAAGGGCTGTTTGAAGAAGGAAATGGTGGGCTTAGTGTGGTAGTGATCTATGAGGCTGCCTGGTTTCTCTAGCAGTGTTCAGCAGCCTGTGACTCTCAGCAGAGAGAAGGAATAATATAGAGGGATATTTCCAGGTAACTCCAGGAAAAGACAAAAGGGGAGGAAGTTGAGTCTGTTAGCCAAAGAGCAGTGTTGAATATGAGATCCAAGCTGAATGGGGAAGAGAAAGAGAACACGGGGAGGGGATGATGACAGGAGAAAGGAGAGGACACGGGGAGGGGATGATGACAAGAGAAAGGAGAGGCAGGGTGTGATGAGGGAGAAATGAGGGTAGATAGCTGGAAAGGGAAGATGCTCAAAGTCAGTGTCTTCCTGTCCCTCTGGGCTGCTGTAATGAAATACCATAGATGAGAAGCTTTTGCACAACAGAAATTTATTTCTCATGATTCTGGAGGCTGGGAAGATCAAGATATCAAGGCAGACTCAGTTTCTGTTAAGGACCTGATGCCTGGTTTACAGACAGCTGTCTTCCTGCTGTGTCCTCACTGGGTGGAAGGACCAAGAGATCTCTCTGGGTTCTCGTTCATAAGGGCATGAATCCAGTTCACGAGGGCTCAGCCCTCACTGTCTAATCACCCCCCAAAGTCCCCACCTCCTAGTCATATCACATTGGGGGTTAGGTTCCAGTGTGTGAATTTTGAAGGACACAAAAAAATCAGAACATAGCAGTCACAGCTTCTTTAAGTGAATATTTCTGAGGCAGTTCTTGTGATAACAAGGTTTAGGGTGTGGCCATAGGGAGACTCAGTTGTAGTGGGAGCTGTCAGAGCTGTGGCAGGGTCACCCAGATCTGTTTTGTCCTGCGTACCTGTCCTCCAGCTTCTGGGGGCTTCTCCTACAGCCTGTACCTGGCCTGTACCTACAGCCTTTTTCAGAGGACTCTCCCTGGTCTACTGGAGCCTCTTCTCAGGATGTTCCTAGAAGGTTTTCTTTTTTTTTGGGGAGATGGAATCTCCCTCTGTTGCCCAGGCTGGAGTGCAGTGGTGCAATCTCAGCTCACTCCAACCTCTGCCTTCTAGGTTCAAGCCATTCTCCAGCCTCAGCCTCCCAAGTAGCTGGGATTATAAGCTGCACCACTACATATGGCTTTTTATTTTATTTTTATTTTTAGTAGAGATGGGGTTTTGCCATCAAACTCCTGACCTCAGGTGATCTGCCCACCTCAGCCTCACTAAGTGCTGGGGTGAGAAGCATGAGCCACTGCCCCCAGACACCCTAAGAGTTTGTATCATCCACTCCCTCATGGTTTCTCTGGAAGCATCTCCTAAACAAATGACTCACAAATGAAGTCTCATCCAGGATCTGCTTTTGGGATACCTGCCTTGGGTCAGTGGTTGAAATGGAATGGAGATGATGGTAATGGTGATAAATTCAAGGAAATGGGAAGCTTGGGTCTCGGTTGGGTTGTATGTGGGATGCTGAAGTCACTCAGGAGGCAAGCAGGACCCAGAGAGAAGGCTTCGGGAAATCGGGGGAGCAGCCAGAGTTACCACTGATGGCCACGGGGAAGAGTAGGAAGTGGAGAAGCCAGAGGGATGGTTATCAAAGAAACAGTGGTTTTGACACAAGAATATGGGGTATTGGTTTTCCAGGACAGTGTGACCCTGATGTTATGGGTGAGGGAGACTGAACAGCCTCTACCCCAGAGTCACACTCAGAGGACAGCGTCCTCAGGGAAAGCCCAACTATCAGGAAAAAAGGTGCAGGAAGAGGTTGGGGATGTGAGGGAGTCTTCATTTCTTCAGTAGGGACCCCTGAGGCATCTTTGGAATGGTTTAGGGTAAGGGCAAGGAGAAGGTTGGATCAGAGGGGAGGAGGCTGAGAGCAGAGGAGAGATCAAAGCTACATCAAGTAGCCTTACTGGCCTCACACATCACAGAATTGGTTCCTTCAGACCCGGTGGAGGGTAGCTTGGCAGTCTGGACATGGGGTGTGGAGTTTGGTACCACACCTAGCACATAGTAGGCATGCATTGTTTGAATAAGCGAATGGATGACACATCAAGTTTGTAAATACCCCTCCTTTTCATCATTCCAAACCATTACTACATGTGTCACTTCCATGTATTTTATGATAAATATGGAACTGATTGAAGTACCTCTAGTTACTTGTTATCACCATTAGTGAGTGGGACACAGTGAACAGATTTCCTAAAGTTAGGGAATTATGAAATAGGATGTGTTATGGACTTAAGCCATAAGATCTGTTTTGTTGTTTTTTGTTTTTTAGAGAGTCTCACTCTGTCAATCAGGCTGGAGTGCCGTGGTTCAACGCCGACCCACTGCAGACTTCGCCTCCCAATTCTCGTGCCTCAGCCTACCGAGTGGCTTGGATTACGGGCGTGTGCCACTATGCCTGGCTAATTTTTGTATTTTTAGTAGGAACGGGGTTTCGCCATGTTGGCCAGGCTGGTCTGGAAAGGATCTTTCTAATAGGTTAAAAAATATTTTTCAGTTTTGCTTTCTATTGTGGATCTGTAGGAAGAGTTGGTAAGGTCAGTACAACTACTTATGATCTATTTGCTTGTGATCTCAGATCCTGAAGGAGTTTGCTGGTGGGGAGGGAAAACTGTGTGTGGAGGAAGAGGGGAGGGCTAGAGAAGTGAGATGGGCCCTGAGCACACAGGACACTGGAGGCCAGTGAAAGAACCAGGGTGCGCTTGTAGGGTTTTAACAGGTGCAAGCTGGGAATTTCAGAAGGCTCATCCAGCTGCTAATCGGAGCCTGGAGCGGGGCAAGCAGTGGGGAGACCCCTGCAGGAGCCAGTGAGGAGAGATAACTGCTTTTGACAAGACACCTGGGAAAGGCATCTGGAAGCAAGGGCCATGACAATAGGATTTAAAACCCTTGGCCCCAGGGAAAGGTGATATTTCGAGATCTATGACTGCTTATATTATCTTTAATCCCAAAAGGAGGGAAAAGATCTTTCCTGTATAAGGTAAGCTAGTTAATTTAAATTGTGGAGGAAAAAACTTGGGGCAAGACACAGAATATGATATCCAGGAAGCATTTTGGAACAAGACATGAGGACCCCAGCTGTGGCTGTGTGCACCTTTAGGGCCTTGACCATAGAGGCAGGATAAAGGAGTCCATTTTGTCAATAGGGTGGAGCCAGAGTCTATTGGGAGAATCATGAGGTAGGCAGCTCTGATCCCAAAAGATGGTGGTCCAGTGGGAAAGGCCTGGGCTGCTCTGACCAGCTCAGCACACACGAGGAATAGCTCTCATCCTGGGCAATTTGTGCCCTGGGTTGGAGGGTGAGAGTTCATTTTATCAGCAATAAAGGCATCCCACCTGCTACCAGGAGCAACCAAAAATGCCCAGAAGTTCTGGAACAGGGGTGCTGTTGAACCAGGTTTCCTGGCAGCCAGAGAGAGAAAAACAGCAAAATGCTGCTATGGTATAGTAGTGAAGTCATCAAGTGCACACTGAGACTTCCTGTGGGCCAGGCCTTGTGAATGGTGCCGGAGACAGAGACTGGGATAAGATCTGCCATCTCTGATGCTGACGCCCAGCCCAGTTCTCCCGTTTTCCTCTCTAGTTTTTTTCTCTCTGTTGTGCATCCCCCTCCCTTTGCTGTCCCTTAAGCATTGTTCCCTTGAGCATCATCTTTTACCCTCTTCTCATTTTACATCTCCCTCTGGACTACTTCATCCAGTCCTGTGGCATCAGTATCACTTACATACTCGTTGCTCTTAAATCTAGGGATTCAGCTAGATTATTTCTCTGAGTTCCAGTCTCTTATGCCTCATGTTAACTGGGTAGCTCCACCTGGATGGGCTACAGGAACTGCAAACCTAACTCTCCTGCATTTTCTGTCTTGGAGAACACCATACTCTTTTCTTTTCTTTCTTTCTTTCTTTTTTTTTTTTTTGAGACGGAGTCTTGCTCTGTTGCCCAGGCTGGAATGCGGTGGCGCGATATCACCTCACTGCAACCTCCGCCCTGCCTCCCAGGTTCAAGCAATTCTCCTGCCTCAGACTCCCAAATAGCTGGGACTACAGGTGTGTGCCACCACACTCGGCTAATTTTTTGTATTTTTAGTAGAGATGGGGTTTCACCGTATTAGCCAGGATGGTCTTGATCTCCTGATCTCATGATCTTCCTGCCTTGGACTCCCAAAGTGCTGAGATTACAGGAGTGAGCCACTGCGCCTGGCCTGAGAGCACCATACTCTTACAAGCCAGATACCTGGGAGCCATCCCAGATGCCTCCCGCTCTACACTTCTTCCTTTGCATCAATTACCAAGACCCGCAGATTTTACTTCCTTTACACCCCTTGTGTCTGCCTCCTCCTCTGCTGCTGCCTGAGTTGAGGCCTCATAAGACATTCCAGTAAACTCCTACCCACACTCCCCGCAGACGACCTCTCATTTGCTCCTTGTCTCTTATGCACTGCTGCCAGAGTCAGCTTGCTAAACCCAGATCTGACCCCATGGCTTTTCTCCCTGGGTCAGCCTTGATGGCTTCCCACACTCAGTAAGACCAATAACACCCACACTCTCTCTGCTTGTCTTTGCAGCTTTATTTTGGTGTAGCCATCTTCATACCCTCTAGTCCTGACATGCAGACCTGGTGCAGTTTCCCAGATGTCCCAGGCTGATTCAAGGCTGAATGTCTTTGTATCTGTTCCCCCCTCTTGCTGTTCACCTTCCTCTCCACCTCCTTCTGCCCTCTCACAGACACCTAATGCCCTTTCCACACCAGTGGACACCTTATCTTTGCGTTCTCGTCTCCTCCTCGGTGGCATTGGCACTCGCTCTTCGTGTCTTTCTGCCCCCACAGCTCTCAAGCACAGCATCTGCACGCGTTGTTGCATTTGCCCGGGTAGGTCACATTGTGTTCTCCGCCTCCTAATAATGTGGACAGCTCACGCTGGTGGAGGACTTGCTTTGAACAAGGCCTTTTGTGTTAAATCTTCCCAATAGTGCTACTACTTCTGCCCTTTCCAGGGAGGAGGGAGGAGGCTTGGAGGGAAGACTCTTTCTTAGGAGTCCTGCCCAGCGTTTCCTGGGGAGGTGGGGCCCCCATGGAAGGTAAACTTATGGTGGGGTAAGCTGGGTGGCTACTGAAGTCCTGTCTTTCCCCTTCTTCCTCTCACCCTGATAACCTTATTCTCTGGGTCCTGTCTGCCGGTAGAGAGGCTTCTGACTTTTTTTTTTTTTTTGCCATGCCTTTAGTTTATAAATACAAGAAGAGATCTGGGGAAAGATCAGGAGAAACTGTCTGCTTACAAATTCTGAGAAGGAAGTCACTGCTCCTCTAAGTCCCATGTCAACCCTTTGCTCTCTTCCCAGCTTGCGGAGTGAAAGAAAAGCCCTTTATAGTCTTTGAGGTCCTCAAATCCCAGTTTATGCAATATGGCCCCAGTCAGAGGACGGCAGACTCAGGGCAAATTCTGCTTGTCTTTCACCAGGGAGGGGACTCACCAAGGGTGACTCATGCCATTCTATATATATATTTTCGGAAATTTGAGACACAGTCTTGCTTTGTCGCCAGGTTGGAGTGCAGTGGCATGATCTTGGCTCACTGCAACCTCTGCCTCTCGGGTTCAAGCAATTCTCCTGTCTCAGCCTCCCGAGTAGCTGGGACTACAGGCTCCCACCACCACGCCTGGCTAATTTTTTGTATTTTAGAAGAGATGAGGTTTTACCATGTTGGCCAGGATGAGCCACTGCACCTAGCTCTCAGTAGAATTTGTTAAATCTAACAAATATTTTGTACCCTTGAGTGAGAGAGAGGCTTGTAGCTCTTCATGAAGAGAATGAGAAATCCCAGAACTGAGTGTTTGGAGCTCTGTGAAGTAAGATACTGCCGTTTCCTGTCTGTCCGTTCTAGCACTTATACAAACCATGAAGAACTCTCCTTCCTTGGACTGTTTGCTTTCTGAGAACTTTAACACCTTTACTCTGGATTTTTGTCTGTGGTAAAAAACACAATAGTGCCAGGGTCATGTCCATATGCTGGATTCACTCTGCAGCCAAAGTTTCTGTTGGGCGGGTGTGTGAACTTGATATCATAAACGCTGGCCCAAGGCAAATATATGAATGTATGAATGAACAAATTCAGGAATGGAACAAACTGTAACCAGGGGCCTCCTAGTTGTAGGTTCTCACTAAACTTCACATTGAGACACAAAGGAAGGGCATCTTATAATGTTGGGGGATGCGCAGCCAGCTTGGAGGTGGTGACACATGAGGTGGGTTTTGAAGTATGAGAAGGAATTGATCCAGAAAACAGACAGGACGTGAAAAGAATCTGGGAATAAAGACTTGTTTCTCTGGGACAAGTGTGAGCGGGTCTGGGTGCTGCCGGGTTTGGTTGGGGCGAAGGTTGCTTGCGGGGGCGTGGCAGTGGGTGAGGCTGTGGAGATAGGCAGGCGCCGGGTCCTGGAAGTGAGAGTCAGGGAGCAAGCCACGAAGCCTGCACTTTACTCTGAATCTTGGCGGTGGCTTCAGAGGATTGCTAGCAGGGGTCCATGTGATCACATTTGCACCCGAGAGAGTGCCACACCATGTACGTGGCTGGGATGTGGAGGATGGATTTAAGGGGGACAGGACTGAAGGCTGTTGCAATGATTCAGGTGAGAGAAGACTGGGGTCTGGAGCAAGGGGACAGGAGAGGACAGATGGGAGACGAGGTGGCAGCCGGTTCCAGCTCCCTCTTTCCACCCAGTCTGCCTTATTTCCTCTTCTCATGGTTCCATAGGGTCTCAGTCATTTCATCATAGTTTGATCTTGTCCATCTGGAAGTGCACCCTGAAGTTTTGAAGAGAGCAGGGAGTAATGGTTCACTCAAAGGGAGAGCCTCTCCTTGGGTGGCATTTTGGGAGCATGGCTTGCTCACTTAGTGCGCACAGTCTGGGTGTTACTGCCATTCTGACTGGGATCAGCTTGATCGCCTTTAAGGTCAGGCTGTCCCATGGAAACAGGAAAAATAGGATTTGGTTGTTGGGGTATCTGGAATCAGAGGCAGCACAGACTCTCTGCTCTAAGAGCTGCTGGGACAACTGCAGCCCGGTGTGGGTGGAGCACCAAGGTGGAATCCTGCCCTCTTCCTACCACCGTCCCTCCCAGCAGCCTGAAGTCTGCCTGTGCCTAGGGAAGCCTTCTGGGGACTCCAGGCTAAGCTGTAACCTGGGACTCTTTGGAAGCTCTTAGCCATCAGCGCAGGTGGCCCCGGAATGATTCTAGATCTGGAGTAGGGGTGGGAGGTCGGCTGCAGGGCTGAGGGAGGTGAGAGGAGGGTGTTCTTTCCCTCTCGCTAGGTAGTCTGGAGTCACAGTTGCACCTTGCATGGGTCAGTAGGCAGAGTCATGCTGCTGTGTGACAGTGGCATCCCTGAGGCAGCTGCCTTTCAGGTTTCCAAGAGACTCTGAATCCTTGGAATGCCATTTCTTTCAGGCGATGTGGAGGAATGGAGGCACTGGGGTTAGGTGTCTGAAGATGGACTCAAGGATGCCGCTGCTTGTTAGCTTGTCATAGGTTGCTCAGTGTCACCTCCCTGGCCCATAGTTTCCTCATCTGTCAATGGGGGCAGATCATGATCACCACCTTATACAGAAGGTTTGGTGAAGGTAAAAACAGGTTTGCTGGCTTGGTGCAGTGGCTCGCACTTGTAATCCCTGCACTTTGGGAAGTCGACGCTGGTGGGTCACTTGAGGACAGGAGTTTGAGACCAGCCAGGATAATGTATGAGATAATAATGAGACCCTGTCTCTACAAAATATTACAAAATTAGGTGGGCATGGGGCATATACCTGTGGTCCTAGCTACTGGGGCAGTTTAGGCAGGAGGATTGCTCAAGCCCAGGAGTCCGAGGTTACAGTGAGCTATAATTGTGACACTGAACTTTAGCCTGGGTGACAGAGCAAGACCCTGTCTCAAACAGAACAAAGCAAAACAAAAACAGCTTTATGCATGTGTAAGATCTTTGTTAATTCTTCCATTAACTCTGAACGGCAGGATGTGTCTTAATTTATGTAGCTCCAGTGCCAAACACAGTGCCAGGCAAACTCAGTTGTTTGTTGATTGAAAGAATGAATGGATGGAGTAGTAAAATCCGTGGGGCCTCAGAGAGGGTGAATAATGTAAAATTATTAAGAGCTTGTTCAACCATGAAAAATCAGATTTCCCTAAGTGCCCCTCCATATCACCCACATTTAGATGAAATTGAAATATGTGCCCGTATTCTTTTTTTTCTTTCTTTTTTGAGACAGAGTTTCACTCTTGTCGCCCAGGCTGGAGTGCAATGGCACGATTATGGCTCACTGAAACCTCCGCCTCCTGGGTTCAAATGATTCTCCTGCCTCAGCCTCCCGAGTATCTGTGACTACAGGAGCATGGCACCATGCCCGGCTAATTTTTGTATTTTTAGTAGAGCTCGGGTTTTACCATGTTGGCCAGGCTGGTCTTGAACTCCCAGCCTCCCAAAGTGCTGGGATTACAGGCGTGAGCCACTGCGCCTGGCCATGCAGATATTCTTGAGGAAACATTTTAAATGGAAACTAGCAGAAAGGGTATTATATTTCAAGATTTCCTTTCTTATCAGTTCTTGGCAGCACTTTTGCTGCCCAGTATTCTTCTGTTGGAGCCATGAAGTGTGATAGTTACCTTCTCCTTCCTTCTTCCTCTCCTTTTCCTGGGATAAGATCTACGTAGAATAATGAATGAATCTATAAAGTAATCTTTATAGATTATAGATTCATTCATTATTGATACGTTATGTAGGAAAGAACTCCACTGCCGTTTGGAAACTGAAGTAGTCAATTTCATAGACTGGAAAATATTTTTATGCCTATTTGAAACAAATGTCTTTCCTGTGTTTTGGGATAAAAGGGTCCTTTCCCCCTGGAATTGCTGTTTCCTCTTGTTCCTGTACTCTGCAGAACTGACTTTGAAGTCAGATGATTCTCTTTTTAATCTGGCTTCTCAGTTTCAGGCCACTTGACCTTGACTTAGCCATTGAACCTATTTGGGTCTCAGTTTCTTTGTCTGTGAAGTGGGGCTGTGTGGTGGGCATGAGCATGCGCCCACAGGCCTCTAACTGTAGGGCCCTGGCTGCTACCCTGAAATCCACGGCTGGGCTTGTACTGGGGGGACATTGCCCCCGGCTGCTCCCAGCCAGTGACTGTGCGCAGCAAGGATACCATGACAGGATTGTTTCTGGGAGACACAGGACTCCTCAGACAGCTGACTTCAGCTCAAGAACTCCTTGATGAGCTTGCTAAACTTCCTTGGGCTGCAGGTGGTCTAAGATACTTACCTCCTCCTTCCTTCTTTCTCTCCTTTTCCTGGGGTAAGATCTACGTAGCGCCTAGTGTGTGTTCTAGCCTCCCTGACTTCCTCTCATTTCCTCTCACACATGCATTCCAAATCATAATAAAATCCATGCACACTCAATCCCTTCTTGGGATCTGTTTCTGGGGGGATCTACCTGCACTCATGCAGTGTGATAATACCTCGTAGTAAGGAACGAATGCAGCGATGTCAGCAGAGTGCTTGTCAGAGAGACAGACATGAGTAAGTGCCTGGTATGCAGTCCAGGCTCCTGTCATCTTCACCACCATGAGCACCACCATCTTCATCACCATCTGGCCGAGTTTGCTTCTTTGTTGGCTCCAGGCACAGAGACCTTCAGTGATTCATCCCAGGTCACATACAAACACAATAACTTTGTATTAGGGTGAGAGCAACTATGGCTTCTAAGGAGAAGAAATGGATTAATGAAACACCCTGTAAAAATTTATCCAACTTGGCTAGGTGTGGTGGCTCACACCTGTAATCCCAGCACTTTGGGAGGCCGAGGTGGGCAGATCACCTGAGGACAGGAGCTGAAGACCAGCCTGGCCAGCATGGTGCAACCCCGTCTCTACTAAAAATACAAAAATTAGCCAGGCATGATGGTGCATGCCTGTTGTCCCAGCTACTTGGGAGGCTGAGGCAGGAGAATCACTTAAACCTGGGAGGTGGAGGTTGTAGTGAGCTGAGATTGCACCACTGCACTCCAGCCTGGGCAACAAAGCAAGACTCTGTCTCAAAAAAAAAAAAAAAAAAAATCCAACGTAAGCACAATCCAGATCCTTTTCCAGCCATTGAAATGTGCAGTCTTCTTTGCCAAAGCAACCAATTCCATTTTTAGTCACATGTACAAAAGGTTTTGTAACATTCTGCCATCTCTGCCGGTACTCCTGACATCTACACATGTACTCCAGCCAGTAAACCAGGACTGCTCATTTGCTGTTCCCGAGAACCCTGTGGACGTTTAGAAAAAAAGGTGGCTGTTATTATTCATATTTCACAGTAAGCAAACAGAGAAACTAAGTCACAGTTTCAAGGTCATGAAGTCACTCATGGGTTTGGGATGAAACTGATTTTTGCTCTGATGCTTTGGAAGCTCAGAAATGGGTGGATTCTGTTTAAACTCTGCCCTAAGGGACAGTCTCTTAGCAAACTGGCACCAACCAGGACCTGGCCTGAAGAGACCTTTCTCAAGTCCAATTCTGCCCAGCCTCAGGGATGCTAGAAGCTTGGGAAGCATCCATGATACTGGTCAATGGAGGAGACCCAGCCCCTACTCACCACCATGCTCATGCCATTGCATGTCAGCTGATGAAGCTTTAAGCTAATGTTGCTTACCTGGTGCTATGGAGCACATTCCTTCAGTTGACGGGCAAGCCCCCGAGGCTGGGAGGGACTGTGCCTCATCCCCACCATAGCACAGCCCTTTGTGCCCATTCAGCATTAAATAAATGGCTTGTTTTTGAGAGTGGTGGTGATTCTGATGGGGCTTTTGTGTGAAGGAATTATCACCACCACCACCACCACCAACAGAAAACAACATTTGCTCTATGCCAGGCACTATGCCAAAAAATTGAGATCCAGTGATTAAAAGATGAACTTTCTGACTCCAAGAAGTTGGTAGGCTAATGAGGAAGATCGGCATGCTGAGCCTGCCTGGAAGAGCCCAGGGCAACTTCATAGAGGAGGTGGCTTTGGGCTGAGACTGAAGAGGATGAGAGTTTTCCAGGCACATGAGGGTGGGGAAGGGGTTACTGGCCAAAGGACAACACCTGCAAAGGTGTGGAGGTGTGAACAGAGCACTGCTGTGTTTGAGGACCTGCTTTCGGTGTTGCTGGAGTGCCAAACTATTTGCCATTTGACGCTCCTCATCCATGTCTGTGTGGTTTGGATGTGCCAGCATTCGTTCCACCCTTAATTCACTTATTCTACCATCATTGATTGGCTACCCACCATATGCCATGCACTGTGCAGAACATTAGTGGTGCAGAGGTGAGGTGTAGACAGGGTGCTTTCCCTCATGGAACTTTCAGTCTAATGGGAGAAGGGGACAAGAGCGCAGCCTCTATCAGCAGTGCGCACAGTGAATGCTGGGCAAGGAAGATGTATTAGTCTGTTCTCCGGCTGCTAATAAAGACATGCCCAAGACTGAGTAATTTATAAAGGAAAGAGGTTTAATGGACTTACAGTTCCATGTGGCTGGGGAGGTCTCACAATCATGGAGGGTGAATGAGGAACAAAATCACTTCTTACATGGCAGCAGGCAAGAGAGCTTGTACAGGGGAACTCACCTCTATAAAGCCATCAGATCTTGTGAACTTATTCACTGTTACAGAACAGCATGGGAAAACCCACCCCCACTCTTCAATTACCTCCCACTGGGTCCCTCTCCCGACATGTGGGGATTATGGGAATACAATTTAAGATGAGATTTGGGTGGGGTCATAGCCAAACCATATCAGGAGACCTGAACTAATGGAGGGCAAATTAGTTTCCTGGGGCTTCCGTAGCAGATTGCCACACACATCGTGGCTTAAAGCAACACTAATTTATTATTATATGGTTCTGGAAGTCAGAAGTTCAAAATCAGCCTCACTTGGCCAAAATCAAAGGTTAAGCAGTATATTTTCTTTCAGGAGGCTTTAGGGGAGGATCCTTCCATTGACTTTTCCAGCTTCTAGAGGGACCACATTCCTTGTTCATGGGTGTATCACTCCAACCTGTGCTCTGTCCTCACATCCCTTCTCTCTCTGGCTGCCCTGCTTCTTCTTATAAGAACTCTCGTCATTATATTGAGGCCAACCATATAATCCAAGATCATCTCCCATCTCAACATTCTTTATTATTATTATTATTTTGAGAATGAACTGTTGCCCAGGCTGGAGTGCAGTGGCATGATCTCACCTCACTGCAACCTCCACTTCCCAGGTTCAGGCGATTCTCCTGCCTCAGGAGCTGGGACTACAGGTGTGTGCCACCACACCCAACTAATTTTTATGTTTTTAGTAGAGATGGGCTTTCACCTTGTTGGCCAGGATGGTCTTGATCTCTTGACCTCGTGATCTGCTTGCTTCAGCCTCCCAAAGTGCTGGGATCACAGGCATGTGCCACTGCACCCAGCCCCATCTCAACATTCTTAATCACAGCTGCAAGGTCCCTTTTGCCATGTAAGATAACATTCATATGTCTTAGGGATTGGGATGTGAACCTCTTTGTGAGTCATTATTCTGCCTATGTCCAAGGCAGGAGGGGAGAAGGTGCTTCCAGAAGTGATATTTAATCTGAGATTTCTGGGTCAGAAGTAGGGTACACATGGCAGCCAGGAGGTCCCTTGGGAGGCTACTGGGGCTGGTCCAGGCAAGATGTGATGGTGGGCTGGATGAGGCTCCAAGGGATGAAACGCAGGGAGGAGGCAGAATGAATGGGAAAAGTCAGCAGTGGGAAAAGAAAGCCACCCTAGGCAAGGCTCACCTTCTCAGCATCAACAGTAGCAAGCGGGCAAGAGAATGCAGTGTCTTTAGGGAAAGGTTAGCAAGAACATCATACCCAGGTTGCTGATTCTAACGTATAGGTTTTTCAATCCACCATTCCAGACAATTTTCGTTCACGTAAATCTGAGGGAAATTGAACATGGAGTGATTTTTATTGGATTGGATAATATGCCTTAGAAGACTGATGTTTGGCTCGGTTTCCAAAGAGAGAAACTGATTTCTAGGGTCTAGGAGGAGGGGCAGATTTTTGCAAACTTAGATTCTTCTAAGCCACCACCCCGACAGCCAGGCGTTTTGAACGGGGAGTGACAGAGCCTGCTCTTTGACTTCCAACAGTTTAACCCCCTGCTGGAGTGAGACTGTTTACCCCACTTAGGTAATTAGGTTTGTCGTCTCCTAATACCTTATTTACACAACAGCCAGCCTTCACCATGACAGAGACTTAATAAGAATTCGAATAACATAGGGAGAAAAAAACTGAAATGCAGTGGCTATTTCTTGCTGCCCAAGACATTTCTGTGATGCATGATAGCATTGCGTGTGCGTCACAACCCCAAAATTCCTGCCATCGCAGAAGAGCCTCCAGCTGGACCTATTTATTTCCAAGGTAATGAAATTGCCCTGTAGAGAACAGGGACCTTAGAGAATTCTATGTGCTTAGAAAACCAGGAGACATTTTCTTTCCAATGACATCTTATCGGAAAACTATAGAAGAAAAATTCTATTACTAATAGATCAGGAGTGGCTATGCCTAAGTCACATCTTCTATTAAGATATAACAAGCTCATCCATTTTTCCTTTGTTTTGTGACAAGAGGACTTTTTTTTTTTTTTTTGAGATGGAGTCTTGCTCTGTCACCCAGGCTGGAATGCAATGGTGTCATCTTGGCTCACAGCAACCTCAGCCTCCCAGGTTCGAGTGATTCTCCTGCCTTAGCTTCTCGAGCAGCTGGGACTACAGGTGCATGCCTCCACACTTAGCTACTTTTTGTACTTTTAGTAGAGACAGGTTTCACCATCACCATGTTAGCCAGGTTGGTCTTGAACTCCTGACCTTGTGATCCACTTGCCTTGGCCTCCTAAAGTGCTGGGATTACAGGTGTGAGCCACCTTGCCCGGCCACAAAGAGGGTTTTTGAAGTCTCTAGATGTTCCTCTTTTCTCTGCTCTGGGTATCACCAGCCCTTGGTACTTAGATAGAGTAGTTGGGTATCCCTCTCCTATTTACTTCCTCTCCACGTTCAACAACATGTTTGTTTTTAAATGTGGTGATGTGTTATGTTCCTTACACATTGTTTCAACAAGGAAGCTAAGGGAGGAGGTGAATTATAAATAACAGAGAGACAGCTTTCAATTTGGACCCTTGTAGAAAAACGTAAGCATTTCAAACTCAATTTATACTTTTTTTTTTTTTAAACTAGGACTCCTGATGCTTATTTTTTAAAACTCAAATGGGTACCTAGCAACTGATCAAATTCCCTAACTGCAGGCTTGTGGAACCAGTGTTTAATCCTCACATTTGAAAGCTGGCTCAAAGAAGACATCTGTACTTTGTTTCTGACACGTTTTGTGTTTATTTATAAACAAACTCTCTTCTTCTTTGTCCCCCACCCTGACTCCTCAGTGGCCGTTCCCGCAGCAGCACCAGTGTGCCAGCCCAAGAGCGCCACTAACGGGCAACCCCCGGCTCCCACTCCGACTCCGACTCCAACTCCGCGCCTGTCCATTTCCTCCCGAGCCACAGTGGTAGCCAGGATGGAAGGCACCTCCCAGGGGGGCCTGCAGACCGTCATGAAGTGGAAGACGGTGGTTGCCATCTTTGTGGTTGTGGTGGTCTACCTCGTCAGCGGCGGTCTCGTCTTCCGGGCATTGGAGCAGCCCTTTGAGAGCAGCCAGAAGAATACCATTGCCTTGGAGAAGGCAGAATTCCTGCGGGATCACGTCTGTGTGAGCCCCCAGGAGCTGGAGACGTTGATCCAGGTGAGCAGGGAGTGCGTCTAGCAGAGACCGACTGGTGGGGTGGATGGCAGTGTTGGCTTTATCCTTCTGGGTCTCTAGTCTTGCCTTCAGTTGAGAGGGTCCTGGTGGTCAGGGAAGACCTCTCCGGGGAGGTGATGTGTGAGCTGAGACCTCCAAGAAGCGATAGTGAGGCATGTGACAGTGTGGGGGAAGGAGGGTCTGTGTTCTGCATCTGCTTTTGGGTGAGTGGCCAGAGGCCGCAGCAGGACAATGTGCTTTGGATTTTCAAGTTCAAGTCCTCCTTGGTGTGCTGATTAACTCCTTGGTTCTGAACTCTCTGTGGAATGCTGGGTTAGAACTCAAAGAAGGAAAGAATTTTAAATATGTGGATTTAGAATAGGCAGGGATACATTAACCTGCCCAAGGTCCATGAGGATTAGGTAGAGAAGAGGTCATCAGGTGTGTAGGTGAAGCGGCTGTCAGTGGCCTGAGACAGCTGTTTTTAGCGGATTTATGGGGCTGAAATAATATGGATCACAGTAGTAGTAATCATCAGGTGTGCTGTTTTTGAATATTTACTGTGTATCAGGCACTTTACTAAGGCCTTTTCCTACCCTGGATGTTAAGGAAAAACGATCCATGAGAAAACGGAAGCAGACAACTTGAACTGCAGCATTAAGAAGCACGGCAACACTTCTGGGCGATGGGTGAGGGCTTGGCAGGGGTGGACTGTGGCGGCGAGGGGCTGTAGGAAAGCCAGGGAGTCTTCGACGGGGCTGTGGTGCAAGGGACGAGATCAGGAGAGTCTAGAAGCCTGGGAAGCCAGAGAGAAAAGCAGTTCTCATGAGGAAGAAAGGGAAATGGTAGAGAGCCCTGCTGGAGGGCTTCACCTTGCACGTGAAGGAGGAAGGCTGCCTCTGAGGCTCAAGTTCCACTTTCTATCCCAGACACCCTCCTGAACTGCAAAGAGTGGGTTTTGGTGGAAGGCGGTGACATTTATGGAGGTGAGAAAGAGTCTCATCTTTCTGGGCGCTCTAAAGTTTGGAAGGCGGAGGGATGGAAAAGATAGCTTTCTTCAGTTCTGGCTCCAGGTTGATGCAGGTGAAATTCTAATGGCTGCAACAACCCAAGATAGTGTAGGGTTCACAAGGCTGGGCTGTTTTATTATTTATTTATTTCCTGCCATACCAACAGAGTAAGGGAATCCTGATGCTGCTTACGATCTGGTACCTTCATAGCAAGCATATTCTTTTCAGTTAGTTTTAATAATCTGACTTGGTTCTTTAATAAATAGAAATACAAATTCCTCCCTTCCTGGGAATAAATATGATTACATAACTATGCCCTAAAATGCTTCTTAAAAACTAAAATGTTAAAAATCCAAGGGCAGCATTTCATATAACTGTTTCATAGGACGTCAGTTCTCTGAATGGCTTTATCTTTTTTTCTTTTTCTTTTTTGAGATAGGGTCTCATTTTTGTCAACTCAGGCTGGAGTGTGGTTGTGTGATCACAGCTCACTGTGGGTTCAACTTCCTGATCCAGGAGGGCTCAATTGATCCTTCCACCTCAGTCTCCAGACTAGCTGGGACTACAGGCATGTGCCACCATGCCTGGCTAATTTTTGTATTTTTTGTAGAGTCAGGGTTTCAACATGTTGCCCAGGCTGATCTTGAATTCCTAGGCTCAAACATTTCGCCCGCCTTGGCCTCCAAAAGTGCTGGGATTACAGGTATGAGTCACCATGCCCATCCCTTTTTCTCTTTCATGGGAAAATACTACCACGTTTGTGGTGATGAGATTGTTGTAGTAATCAGCGCCAGATTTAAAGCCTAGCATGCTATAGAGAATGGAAGAAACAATTCTGGAGTAGTTTTAAGTAGGAGTATAATTACATTTATACACATTGTGGTGATATGTGGCAGGATCCTTTTCAATTAGTTGCAATACATGTAATAATAACCTAATTGATGATCTGAAGTGAATCTAGTATCCTGCTTGAATTTTCCTTCTTTGGGCAGTGAGATCTTGAAGAAAAGGACCACATTGTCTTGTCTTTGCCTCCACGTGTGGTTTATGCTTTGCTTTGGCTCTAATGATTGCCCAGTAGATAAATGCTTTTAGAGCAAGATATCAAAGTAAATTGTACAACATTGGTGATGTCACAAGCTATCTGAGCTTATCCATGCATTTGTTGATTAATTCAGCATCTCCGTATTTCCCATTCTTTAACCCCCTTCTTTATGAGAGAGCTCAGAGACCTGAGTGAAGGACAGGGTCGGGGAACATGGAGGTCCTAATTCTGATGCTGCCATGAAGACCGGTGCCCTGTTGGACCTCAAAGATTTCTCTGTGAAATGAGTTATGTGTGTGCATGTGTTTGTTTGTGTGAATGTGTTTGCGCATACATGTGTGTGTTCATTTAAGAGAATTTCATGATTTAAAAAGCTGCTCTTTATTAGGTACCTGTTATGAGCTGGGTATCACATACCCACTATCTCATGTAATCCTATCAACAACACTCTAAGTTCATATCATGATCCTTTTTTTTTTTTGAGACGGAGTTTTGCTCTTGTTACCCAGGCTGGAGTGCAATGATGCGATCTTGGCTCACCGCAACCTCCGCCTCCTGGGTTCAGGCAATTCTCCTGCCTCAGCCTCCTGAGTAGCTGGGATTGCAGGCGCGGGCCACCATGCCCAGCTGATTTTTTGTATTTTTAGTAGAGACGGGGTTTCACCATGTTGACCAGGATGGTCTCGATCTCTTGACCTCGTGATCCACCCACATCAACCTCCCAAAGTGCTGGATTACAGGCGTGAGCCACCGTGCCCAGCCCTCATGATCCTTATTTTACAGGAGAAGAGGTGAGTAACTTTCCAGCCCCCGAAATGGTAGAGCTGATATTCAAAGCAAGGCTGGACTGACTGCACACTCATCCAAATAGTCTACAGGCCCTTTAAGTAGGTCTTTGTTGATAACAAGCTCCAGTCTCTCTTAAACACGTGCTTTATGTTGAATGTTGTATTAGTCCATTCTCGCATTGCTATAAGGAACTACCTGAGACTGGGCAATTTATAAAGAGAAGGGGTTTAATTGACTCACAGTTCCACAGGCTGTACAGGAAGCATGGCTTGGGAGGCCTCAGGAAACTTACAATCACAGCGGAAGACGAAGGGGAAGCAGGCATGTCCTGTATGGCTGGAGCAGGAGGAAGAGAGAGCAGAAGGAGAGGTGCTACACACTTTTAAACAACCAGATCGGGCCGGGCGTGGTGGCTCAATCCTGTAATCCCAGCACTTTGGGAGGCCGAGGCGGGTGGATCACGAGGTCAAGAGATCGAGACCATCCTGGTCAACAAGGTGAAACCCTGTCTCTACTGAAAATACAAAAAGTTAGCTGGGCATGGTGGCACGTGCCTGTAATCCCAGCTACTCAGGAGGCTGAGGCGGGAGAATTGCCTGAACCCAGAAGGCGGAGGTTGTGGTAAGCCGAGATCACGCCATTGCACTCCAGCCTGGGTAACAAGAGCGAGACTCCGTCTCAAAAAAAAAAAAAACAAAAAAAAACCCAGATCTCTGTTGGGCATGGTGGCTCATGCCTGTAATCCCAGCACTTTGGGAGGCCGAGGTGGGTGGATCACCTGAGCTCAGGGGTTCAAGACCAGCCTGGCCAACATGGTGAAACCCCATCTCTACTAAAATTATGAAAATTAGCTGAGCATGGTGGTGCACACCTGTGGTCCCAGCTACTAGGGAGGCTGAGGCAGGAGAATCGCTTGAACACAGGAGGTGGAGGTTGCAGTGAACTGGACTGCACACCAGCCTAGGCGACAGAGCATGACTGTCTCAAAAAACAAAAAGAACATCTCATGAGAACTCATTCACTATCACAAGAACAGCAAGGGAGAAATCTGCCTCCATGATCTAATTGCCATCCTCCAAGCCCCTCCTCCAACACTGGGGATTACAATTCAATGTGAGATTTGGGCAGGGACATAAATCCAAACCATATCAAACACTTTCCAGAATTTTAGCAGTCAAAAAGCATAAGATAGCCAGTGTGGTGGCTCGTTGCTGGTGATCCCAGCAGTTTGGGAGGCCTAGGAAGATGGATTGCTTGAGCTCAGGAGTTTGAGACCAACCTGGACAACATGGCAAAACCCTTTTGTACAAAAAGTACAAAAATTAGATGGGTGTGGTGGCATACACCTGTAGTCCCAGCTACTTGGGAGGCCGAGGTGGAAGGATCACCTGAGCCCAAGAAGTTGAGGCTGCAGTAAGCCGTGATTGTGCCACAGTACTCTAGCCAGGGAAACAGAGTGAGACCTCTTCTCAATAAATAAATCATTAGAGTTCCTGGCTGCCTATCAGGAAGCATTTCTGTTTCTTCTCCCTGATAGGCAGCCAAGAACTCTAATGATTTAGAGCATCAGTCCTGGACCTGGGTTGCTTCCAAATCTCCATCTACTATGACTTCGTTTCCTGCTTGTGTTTATCTACAGTCTTTTTCACAATATAAGTTAAGCAGGTTTAACTGCTGAAACTGTGTCAAATCATTGCACCAAATCAAGTTTTGTCCTTCAGTTTGCTGATACCTTCACAAGGATGAAAGTGTCCACTCTTCAGACCAGGGAGTTTTCTCACACTTTATGCCTCTGAGCAGCACTGTATATAGTGATTGCAAGAAACACAGTACTTAAAAACAGTCTGTCTTCACATCCGGAAAGGTTTTCAGTGTGCTATGTTCTAAGCTGGAAAGATAGTACTACTGTATCTTACCCAAGTCTGAAAGGAGTGACAGGTGGGTAGATAGTAGATTGAAAGTATTTATTTCATCGTGTCTCCTGGCTGGATTGAGTGAACCCCTCATAAAGCCAAGCTGGAAGGTGTGCTTCATATTACCAATAACAAAAATAGAGTACCCAGAACAGCATGATACCCCCAAATGCCTGGATAACCTAGAAGAGCCATAGCTCTTAGAGCGTAGTGGGGAGGGATTCTCGGACAAGTGAAACCACTTTA